ACTCTCTCAGGCCAGAGGCCACACCTGCTGAGTTTGTTTTTGACGGCTCCTTTCCCATCCACCTGGAACCTGAGTCCACTACAGTCCACTGTGGTGAGTGCTCCCACAGGCTCGCAATGTTCTAATGAGAAGGGCAATCAGGGGCTGTTTGTCTGTGGGGTTGTACAATGACAGCTGCTTCTCAGACGATCCCCACTGCCACCCCCTTCCCTAGGGCAGCATCAGTGCCCTGTAGCTGCTAGGAAGGTGTTAGAGGGAAGGTATCAGTGATCCTAGAAGCCTATTAAGTATCCTGACCAACCCAAGTGGCTTTTTCCAAACTCTGAGCTTCAGGGCTTTCTATCCACAAAACAATGACCCCAGAACATGTTTCTTTCTAGAACTGGACATCTGCCAGCCTATCTGACTACGTCTGAGCCCAGTTCACCTGACGTAGGGGTGAGAGTTTTTCAATAGCTTATCTCCTTCTCATAAACCACTAATAAACACCTGATGACTCTTTAAAAGCAAGGTCAAAGGTACATCCAAACACTTTTTTTTAAAGGGCTGCACTGAGATAAAAGATATTCTGCAGACTTAAATAGAACAAAGTTAATCTAAATGCACCAAACTAAACCCGTTGCTGTCGAGTCCATTCCGACTCATAGCGACCCTATCGGATAGAGTAGAACTGCCCCAAAGAGTTTCCAAGGAGCAGCTGGTGGATTCAAATTGCCCACCTTTTGGTTAGCAGCCGAACTCTTAACCACTGCACACAAATATTAAGAAATGTCTAAGATATGATGTTAAATGACAAAAGCAAAGTTTGCAAAACAATATATATACCATTAGCTCATTTTTATAATCCTATAAATTTAATTTTTTTTTTTTTGTATAGAAAAAGAGTTGAAAGGATATTTACCAAACTGGTATATAGTAGTGGTTATAAGGAGACTTTCAATATTTAACCTTTCTAAGTTGTTTACTTCTTCTTTTTTTTTTAACCAAGTTGTATTTGCTACTTTGCAGTCAGCAAAATAAATCAGTTTTTAAAAAGGCATTTGGGATAGCGACTCCTTTATCCCATTTAACTATTTTTTTATTACCCCCGTCATATACAATTTTGTTTCACGATTAAATAAATTTTACTTAATTAAATAAAGCTTTATGTATATCTTTTTTGTTTAAATTTTATTATCTATCATTTTTAATTTATTATTTTCTTTTTTTAATATCTTAAAGCACTGCAGATTTCTTACAAGCTTCATACGGACACTGCCCTGGGGGAATCTGAGAAGCAGGCATCATTAGACAATCTCTTAGAAAAACAGTTCGTCAGGAAATGGCTGAGGGGCAGTTATTCACTGTATTCATTCTATATACGTTACTGAGTGCTACTGAGTACCAGGCCTGTGTGCTTGATGCCAGGGCCAAACAGTTGGAAAAAAGGGATTACAATTTCAAGGAAACGCACCAGGTTATTCGGTTGCACTAGAGCCATAGACCTGCCCCGGCAGTATAGGGTGGTGGGTAAGAACTTGGATTGGGAAATCAGGCTGCTTGAGATTAGATTCCATCACCACTATTTACTAACCTCAGGGGCTTGTGTCAGAGACGGGGTCAGATGCTAGCTTTTTCTTTCATTTTAACAAATAAGTCTGGAGGTAGGCAGTCCAAGGCTGGTACAGCAATTCAGAGTCGTCAGGGACCCAGGCTCCTTCTGTCTGTCTGCCCTGCCATCTTTAGCTTGTAGCTTCCTTTCCCAAGGTCACAGGTTGGTGCTGAAGCCTTAGCCATCATGTCCAGGCAAGAAGCAGGAAGCGGGAGAAAGGGAAAAAGAGCAAGAAAAAGCCCATGTAAGCAGCCTTATACCCTTTTAAAGAAGCTTTGGTGGAAGTCTAACCCAGCAACTTCTGCTTCCATTTTATGGGTCACAGTTACCCAGGAGTCCCTGGGTTTTGCAAACAGTTAATGCACTCGGCTGCTAATCAAAAGTTGGAAGTTCGAGTCCACCCAGAGGCACCTTGGAAGAAAGTCCTAGTGATCTACTTTCAAAAGATCACAGCCATTTAAAACCCTGTAGAGGACAGTTCTACTCTGACACACATGGAGTCGCCATGAGTCAGAATTGACGGGACAGTAACTGGTTTTTGGTTTTAGCTACCCTCAAGGAGGCTGAGCAGACTTTTAGCTGGCCACATTACCTCACCAAGTAAAATAAGGGTTCTCTTACTAAGTAAGAAGGGGATTTTAAATACTAGGTAGGCAATTAGCAGTCCCGGCCACAGGGTAATAATATTGCCCACCTCACCAAGTACTAGGGGATTAAATAAGATAATACTTGTAAACTTCTCAACTGTTACCTCCCCTTTGAAGCCTTCCTCAGGTAAATTTAGTCATTTTGTGCTTAGGGATCTAATAGCACACTTTCATACCTGTATACTAACACTGGCCAGGGTTTATTGTAATTTAACATTACTGTCACCCCCACTGGACTCTGAGGCTGGGGTGAGGCCTTATTCACCTTTGTGCTTGGAGTGCCAGCACATGATAGATTGTCAACAAATCTTTGTGGAATAAAAAAAAAGAATTTCCCTGTCTTCCTGTCTTGATGTAAATACTTTGTGAACCACTTTTACTTCCAAATCCAAATAACTTCTGGGCCTTAAGCCTCCATCTTTGAAAAGTCACCTTCAGGACCTGTTCTCTTCAGGCCTGAGACAGAGTGAAAAGAGCAGACAGCACTGCCTCCAATATCCGTGTTGTCCCTTATCTGCTGTGTGACACTTGGCAAATTACTTGACCTGCTTCACTTTTCTCCTCTGGAAAAGCGCGGTTAAAATGGGTGGCCCTGTGTGTATGATGTCAGGCTTAAACGAAAAGTGCTCAGTATGCGCCTGGCATGGCCCAGTACTCAGTGAACACCAGCATCCTTGGTCTTACCTTCTTTTGATACGTTTCCTTTTACCCTAATAGATCTGCAGCAGCAAAGTTAAAAACAGCTAACACCTTTTCAGCATTTACTACGCGCCGGCTGCTCTTCTCTGTTTAGGCCTTGCAACAACACTGAGGTAAGTCCTATTGTAATCACCCCCGTTTCACAGATAAAGATACTGAGGCTCAGGGAGTCAGCTAGCTAGACAACAGAGGCAGAGCAAGAGTGGTCTGGCCATAAGCTCATGCTTCTAACTACTACACCACACGGGCCACCATGTTGCGTTCGGCAACATTTAGCCTCAGCAATCCTTCATCATCTCTTTTGCTCTCCAATTATCGACAATCTCTCTGGGTACGCCAGAGACCACATCACTCTGGGGGTCAGTCAGAAAGATTCTGGGTCAACTTATCCCCACGGATGGTTTTCCGAGCAGAAAACTCCCCACAGAACACCAGCAGCTACTCACACTTCCCAGAGAACACCCTGAAAAGTTCAGTTTTAGTGCCTGAGAACAGCTGTGACCTCAGACGGGTTGTCAGTGGAAGAGGCACCCCGACCGTCATGAGCTCTACCATGTGCAAAACTCAAATTTATAACAAAAGGTGAATGTATGTGTGTGGGAGGGATTATTTATGTGCATTACGTAAAGATAATTCACTTTATAAAATGATTCATCTCAGGCTTCCTTTATTTAGCAATCTCTCCTTCTGCACTTACAGTTGATTCAATTTTTTATAAAAATTCCATTTATGTGAGACTTGTCAGGGACCCAACTATTAAGTCAAGTGAAATAGCCACTGCCGTTGAGTCGATTCCCACTCACGAGATACGCCCACACAATTCCATGATCTTGATATTGCAAAGAAATTGCTACAAACTCTGCCTGATCTGACCTTTTCCCTTGTATTTTTCTCTTCCAAATATTCTCTGAGGTGGTGCTTTTTGAATTGTTTTATGGGGAAAACATCATTGAAAATCAGTCAGTTATCACAATAGAGAGAAATAAAAGAATTTTGGTTGTGCTGGGAGTATCTACCAACCCTGCCCATCCTTTCTGAGCACTGGAGAAGTACAAAGACACAATGTTTCTTTGCCTAGTGTTTCAAAACTTACAGAGTCTCTGGTAATCAGCAGTGAAGGAACCCGCCGCAGCCAGTAACACAGAGACCGGGGCAGGGACAGAAAGCTGAAGACACCACAGAACTTGGAGGCCAGTGGAGGTGTTGACCTCCCAAGGCTGGCCTTGACTGTTCCTGGGCAAGCTGTCCCAGTCACTGCCACTGACAAGGATCAACTCTGTGCCTTTCTGGCATGAAATCATTGGCTAGAAAGGGCAGAAAGCAGACAGGGAGCAGGGAGAGCAGGAGTGAGTAAAACCTTGCAAAGTGAAAGGTACACACTCATTACATTTGCAGAAAGTTAAAACCATACCTGCATATGAAACAGACTCTGTAGGATGCCAGGGACTGAAAGTTACTCAAATACCACCAGCCTGAACTGAAAAAGAATGAGGAACCCAAGATTTAAAAATTTTTATGAGTGACTTTCTGGGTGAAACTGGAAGCAGCTTCATGGGTTTACATTTCAGGAAAGCCTGGCAGGGTGAAAGCCTCTCCTGACTCACGCTTATGGCCTGGAGCTCATGTCTGTTGCTGGGTAAGGTTGCTATCCCCATGTAAAGCAACAACATGCAGAGATAGGACCCAGGTCTGCTCAAAAATCTTCTGGGGGCTCTTTGACACAGTCTTGCACCTACGCCTTTCCAAAGGTGCCTACGGCACAGTATTTAAGGAGGCTCTCACTCTCAGGGTTGTGCAAAGGCAGGGACAGCGTGTGAGAGTGAAAGCCACCTTAAATATTTCTCCCTAGGCACCTCACTAGCCTCCCAGCCTCGTCCAGCCTTTCAAACTCCGCATTCAATAACACCCTCCCCCAAATTCTAAGTCAATTGGTTTGGGATGGGGTGTGGCATTTTTAAACAGTTGTATTGAGCTATAATTCACCTACTTAAAGTATAGAATTCAATGGCTTTTAGTATATTCACAGATAGACGTAACCATCATCACAGACAATTTTAGAAAAAAAAAAAATGGAACACTTCCAGAATTTGCATGTCATCCTTGCCCCAGCCATGCTAAGCTTCTCTGTCTGATTCCAATTTTGGTATAAGTGCTGCCGAAGGGAGCACGGGTGTGGGCATTTTAAAAGTTCCTCATTCTGATTCCAGTGGGTAGCAGGATGGAGAACCACTGCTTTAAGTGAACACGGGTGGTGGTGAGTTGAAGGAGTCCAGTTGAAAGCCAAGAACCCACCTTGACTTTATCTTTTCCTAGTATGTTCCCTGGGGAAAAAAATTCTTACTCATTTTGGTTCAGTCTCTTCACTAAATTATAGGTCATAAAGGGCACTGCCCAGATAAAATACAGGTCACCTAGTTGGATTTTAATCTTAGACAAACAATGACTAATGCTTTAGTGTACATCTATATGTCTGTCCCATGCAATATTTGGGTTGTACTTATACTAAAAAATTGTTCGTTGTTTAGCTGAGATTCAAATTTAATTCAGCATCCTGCATTTTTGTTTGCTAAGTCTGAGGACTCTAGCTCTGCGTGACATGCCAAAGCTTGTGGACTTGACTGTGTAGGGCAGCATTTCCTCGTTTGTACTATAGAACACAAGTTGCAGTAGATATAATGGGTATTATACTAAGAAATGGAAACCCGGGTGGCGTAGTAGTTAAGTGCTACTGCTGCTAACCAAAAGGTCAGCAGTTTGAATCCACCAGGCGCTCCTTGGAAACTCTATGTGGCAGTTCTACTCTGTCATATAGGGTTGCTATGAGTTGGAATCCACTTGACAGCAACGGGTTAATGGGATACTAAGAAAAAAACGTCCATGGTCAAATAAGTTTGGAAAACACTGCGTTCTATCAAGTTAACCAAGTTTTTTGACTGCAAAACTTCTCCAAGGCTTAAATATGCAAATGCGCATTGTGATTTCTCAAGATGGAGATATGCTGCGTTCCCAAACTTGCATAATCAAGAGACAGCTCACAGAACTAATGTTCCAGAAACCTCACTAAACACTGCTGTGGGAGGTGGAGTGTCACTGAAGAGTTTTTAGAAGGCAAGTGACAAGGTCAGACTAATGATTGAGCTAGCTAATTCCACATTCAGGCATATGGATTTGGGGGGCACAGGACTGGACGCTCAGAGACCAGACAGGAGACTATTGCAATAATCCTACTGAAAGATGATGAGGTTGTGAATTACGTGGTGGTGGTGGAAGTGGAGAAGTATTAAGGAACCGGAACTAAAAGGACTTGGGGATTGATTAGACGCTGTGAATGAGCAAAAGTAAAGCATAATTTCTAGCATAGAGTAGGCACTCAAATGCTTTGTTTCCATCTCTTTACTTTTCCTATGCCTAGAATATAATCTTTCATGTAGCACAAATTCATACCCATGATGCAGTGTCAGATTCAAAAACTTCGGAGATAGAAGCATGAACGACACAGTTTTTAAATGTTTCCTATTTATTTCCCAAAATGCCCACTAGTTTTTGTATTGGGATGATTGACTCATCCCTGCATCATCTCTCCCCAGCCTTAGAAAGAGATATTGAGCATTATGGGAATACTTGACTTTACTGTGCCAGATTCATTCTGCTCCACTGGGTGGAATTCTGGTGGTTTCCAAGGAGAACAAAGGCTTGCTGAGGAAACTATGCCTTGGGAGCAATGACCTGGACAGAGCTGGCTCCCTTGGGACTAGGGCCTTTGAAGACACCTTAAAAATCAGCCCTAGTCTCTGTCTTCAACCCAAGAATTAACTCGAATAGTCAATAATTTCTAAGGATGGAAATACTAGTCATATTTTGATAGTATGAAAAAAATCACCAGCCGATTTAGCCAGATGGAAAAAGTGGCCAAACAACATTTTGGGTGGTCACCTTCAGTTCTGCAGAATCTATAAAACAAGCTAACTTCACAAAAAGAAACTCCTGAGTTTGCTGGAGTCAGGGACTAAAGACTCACCAGTGAATGCACCCTCTGAGCACCAGCCTCTGTGCTCTCTTCCTGGCCTCGTTTGGCCTGGACACCAAGAACATCAGTAACTGGACATTCATGGCATGAAGGGAGGTGTCTTGGTAACACCCTGGAAATCTGCCAATTCTACCACAAGCTAGGACCCATCTTTGCTGAAGTATATAGAGTTCTTGTTGATACAAGTGTTCTTTAAGTTAAAAGCAATAACTTGCTTGTGGTTTAACTTAAAAAAAAAAATCACTTCAGAGGACTTTCCCCTTTTGTCTCCTGAGGACTGATGCCTTTCTCAGACTTTGGCCTGTCCACCAGTTAAGTAAGGATGCTTGGCCAAAGTGTCACCACTGCCTGTAATCTTCGTCTGAGTCTTTAATTTTTCCATGGCTTCTTCCTCTCAGCCTACACTGCTGAAGTCTGCCTCATGCCAAATATTTTCCCATGACTGGTCATCTCATAGCGCTTCATATTCTTCTTGTTTTAGAGGCGAAAGCTTGCCCGGCACTCCCTATTCAAGTAATAGCTACTTGAAAGGCAGGAAGGAGTTACTCTGTGAATCCCCCATGGCTCTTCGCACACACCTTGATTAGAGCAGACTAATACTGAGCTGATTGTACTAAATCTGTTACACAGCCTTCTGTTCCATCTGGAGCTGGGCTTATCACTACCTCCTATTCATGCAAAGCCCCCAAATTAGCAACAAGTTGTAATATTGACATGTTTTCTCCTTTTACCTAATTGAAATATGTCCTACAACAATTTAATTCCATTGATTATTCTATTTGTGGTACATTGCTTGCAAAAATGGCCAATATTATTCCCTGTGTGGTGGCCACGCCCCTCAGAGGTAGAATCGATTTCCCCACACCTTGAATGTGAGCTAGCCATGTATCCTGCTTCGACCAATAAATTGTAGCCGAAGAGATAATTGTACCATTTCCATTTCTGTCTGCCCAGGCCTCAAGAAAGGAGCCCTGGTGGTGCAGTGATTAAGCTCGGCTGCTAACTGAAAGGTCAGTGGTTCTAACCCACCAACTGTTCCACCAGAGAAAGATGTGGAAGTCTGCTTCCATAAAGATTACAGCATTGGAAACCCTATGGGGCAGTTCTACCCTGCCCTATAGGGTTGCTATGAGTCAGAATCGACTTGACAGCAATCGTTTTTTTTTTTAGACCTCAAGAGGTCTTGTGAGCTTCTGCTGTCTCTCAGGACTCCACTCAGCTTCTGTGTTAACGAGTTGGAGCTAGCTGCTAAATGATGAATGATCATATGGCCCAGTCATCCCTGTCACTCCTGTTGTTCCAGGTAACAGCCAGTTAACACCCAGAAGCAGAGCTCCTTGGCAGACCTGTAGCTGACCACAGATACATGAGAGAACCCAGCAAACACCAGAAGAAGGTACAGCTGCTCCCACCTAAATTGCTGATCCATAGAATCATAAGCTAAATAAATGATCACTAAGTTTTGGGGTTGTTTGTTCTGTGGCAACAGTTAACTAACGCATCATCCAAAATGCTCAGATTTTAAGAGTGTAAGGAACTTCCTGTTAATCAACATGGCACCACAAATTTTTGCTTTGATACAATTTTGGAGCTCTAAACTCATTAGTAATAAGAGATAAACTAGGGGAAAAGAAAAACAAACAAAATAAAATGAGCAAACAATCATAGTCAGGCTCATGGATAAACATCTCCACACATGAGAAATCTACTGCGCTCCAGGACTGGAAGCAGAGGGAAGTCTCTGGGAGTTTGACCTCTGCCAAGTAAAGAGAATTAAAGAGCTCCACCTGAAGCAGGGAACTAAAGCCCATTTACTGCTTGAAGCCAGGTTTGGGTGGAGTTGGAAGACACCCTCACTTCTGCTGGCTCGTTAAAGGAGGCTTAAAAATAATTCTCAAATATTACCACTGCAATCAGGCATTCTCTTCCTGACCCCCTACCAACTTTCTGAAACCAATGGTCCATTCTCAGTCCTCATTTTACTTAACTGAATTTGATAGACGACTCTGCTAGACTTTCTTCTTTTCTGTGGGAGGATACCACACTTACCTGGTTCGCCTCCTACCTCACTGGCCATTTCTTTCTCAGTTCCCTTTTTGATGGTTCCTCCTCTTCTTTCCAAACCCTTAGAGTTGTACAGTCCTAGGATTCAGTCCTTCTCTTCTTCTCTATCCATATTCACTCCTTTCGTGATCTCATTTGTGCTCATAGCTTTAAATATCATCTGTATCTTGACCACTTCCCATTTAAATCTCCAGTCAACTCTCCAAACTCCAGACTCGTATATCCAATAGCCTACTTAATATTTCCACTTGGATGTATAATAGAAATCTCAAACTCAAATGAGCTCCTGATCTCCCCCTGCCCTATTATCTGTAGCATTCATGAACCTGTATGCACCCAATAGCACAACCTTGAAAACGGCAAAGCCAAAACGGACAGAATTATACGGCGAAATCAACAAATCCGCAATCACAGTGCAGAGTACTGAGATCAAGCAAAAACACAGCAAGAATTGAATTTAAAACATTTGAACACCATATCTACTCGATACATAGATAAAAAGTCCTTAAATCCAACAGTAGATTCAAATGCATATTTAAAAAATCTGACCTATTGAAATCACAAAGGAAGTCTCAATAAACGTGAAAGGCTATCTAAAGACCAGGTTCACTGACTATAGTGCAAATTAAATTAGAAATTAACAATGAAAAGAAGTTAAAAACAACAATAGCTACAACATATGTTTAGAAACTTGGAATCTACCTGATGGCAACTAACAGCAACAACAGCGGATAACTCATGGTTAAAAGAGAAAGTCACAAAGGCAATGATAAAATATTTAGAAATGGCAATGAAATTATCTTATAGCACAACCTGTGGGAGTTGGTCTAGGAAAAAAAAAATGTTATGAAGGATAATTTTTAGATAACTGGAAATATTTGTATAACGTCTATATCTTAGATAATAGCATTGTATTAATGTTAAATTTCCTGCTCTTGATAATTATACTGTTTAGGGAATGAAAGTCTTTGTGCTTGGGAAATTCACACTAAAATATTTAGGGATAAAGGGGGATGAAGTCTGAAACTTATTCTCAAGCAGATCATATAATAATAATATCCACAGAGAAATAAAGCA